CTGTGATGGCCCAGCCACCGCCGTTCCCCACCTCCCTCCCTTCTTGGGCTGGTCCAGGCTGCACGCAGCAGTCCTGGAGCTCTCCACCATTCCTGCTCCAGCCAGAGTCAGAGCCATGTGGAGGACGTGGGCTCGGCATCCCCTCTCCCCGTCAGGCAGGGGCTGACTGCTCCTCCCTGGCCCTGGTGTCTGGCCAAGCTCATGTGCCCTTTCCAAAGCTGGAGGCTCTGCTCTGCCAGGCATGTGGTCTGGGAAGAGGTGGTGGTGCCGCACATAAGGGCTTGGTCTGTGTGTTCTGGGCAGCTACAGGAACTGGCCATGCAGCCCCCCCACTGTCCCCTGTCCGCTGGAGAAGTGGGGTTCAGTGTCCCTTCCATGCCTGCCTCTGAAGAGCTGGGCACAGAAGAAGAGCCTGCTCTGAAGACCTGCCTGGGGGTCTCCCAGCTGCCATGGAGAAGAACCCAGACGTCCTTTCCATGCCAGCCTGCAGGACAGCCCTCGCTGGAGAGCCAATGCCTAATTGCAGTGGAGGATGGGGCGGGACATTTGAAAGCATTTAAAGACCTGTCCCCATCCCAGAACATGTGAGCAGAGCTGCTCTGGCAGAAGATGGGGAGGACAGGCTGGCAGTAAGAGGCCCCAGGGCTGGAGCAGGGTACTTGGTGCTGGGAAAGAGCAGCTGGACCTACCTGGTGCTGCTTGCTAATGGGAGAAGCTCCACAGGGCCCCATCTCATGGGGGTAAAAAGCATCTGTCTACATTAGGCATGTGCATGTGTGCCCAGATTGGGTTTGTGCTCTGTGCTCCCTTGGTGGAGGTGTCCTATGGGAAGGAGCCTTTCCAATATTGGCACGCTTTCCACTGTGGCGCTGACGGAGAGAGTAGCAGATGCTGCAGCAAGTCTGCAGGAGAGTTTGGGGGCATCTGCCTGCCATGGGTCTGGTTTGGCTGGGAGAAGCACCCTGCAGGTAGGTGGCAACCTGAGCATGTTGGAAGACTCTTGTGCCAGCTGAACAGTCTTGCAGTGTGCTGGACTCAGGTTAAAACCAGCCCCTTGGATGGGCAGGGTAGAGAAACCTGCAGCTGGGTGGTATCACGGGAGCCAGCTGCCCTCAAGCAGCATGGTGCTGGGGGAGAGGCTCGTGGTCACCGCTCTGGCGCCCGCACCAGAGCCCCAGCGGGGATAGTCTCCTATGGCTAAAACTACAACATGTCTTGCAAGCATTTGTCTGGTATGGGGCTGACTTGACAGCAGCAGGCATGATGAGCGGACGTGTTTCTAAACCATTGCCCAGGCACTAGTTAGCCGCCTGATGTTGGTGCTAGCGTGTCAGGAGGGATGGTGCACAGTCTATATACACACACAGGTAGACCGTGGCCCCTGATAACCCCTGTGAAGGCCTCCTCCGCTTTTATCTAGCAGGGAAGCAGGTCCCTGCAACTGTGCCATCTCTGCCTGGTACAGCGATGCCTTTGGTGCCCAAACCCAAGTCCTGTCTTGCAGCGTGTGATACAAAAGGTCAGAAAGGAAATGGGGTAACCCTGAAACCTGCTCCTCAGCTTCTCGGTCTCCAGCATATGTTCTCTGCACTGGGCAGATGGCTGTGGGCTTTCCCTGGAGAAGAAGGGGTGGGAAATAAGTCCGTTTTGCTCCAAGTAGAGACCATGGCTGTGGGCAGATGGCCATGCATCCTGGGCGCTGCTGGCTGAAAGCTGTCCCTGCTTTCATCCCCAGGAGCGAGCAGGCTCAGTTGGCCCTGCACACAGCTCAGCCCAAGGGCTGCCTGCCCGGTATCCTGCTCTCCGAGCTCCAGGCACAGAGCAGGGCCACTCCAGTGCTGTGGCTGCTGTCCCTGGTGTCACAGTGACAGCAGGACAGGAAGCATGGCTGCCATCCCCAGTGCTGGTCCGCAGCAGCTGGCACGGTGGCATGGTGGGCAGGGCACAGATGTGACCGCCTTATGTAGTAGGGCTCGCCACGGCAAGGCAGAAACTCTTCCCATGGAGTGGAGGGTGCAGGCTGAAACATTTCCATCCAGCAACTGCCCAGTGCCAGCCCAGGGGGGACCAAGCCACTGCATGAGGTGCCACAGCTCAGGGCGTCCCCAGCAGCGGCGCTTGACCCCCACAGAGGCCGGTGGGATCACTGTGCAGCAGAAAAAAACCCCAAAGCTTTTCTGATCTCAGGTTTGGCTCAGGAGCTGCCAAGCAATGTTGGCGTCTCGTTGTCACCTGTGCCCGGAGCCCAAGCAGAGCGAGCCACTGGTCCAGTGTGGGGTTACTGCTCGAACCGGTTGCTGTGACCCCAGGGATGCCAGCATCTTCAAGAGGAGAGGAGCAAACCACAGAGGTGGCTGGTCTCTGCTGGGCCCTGCATGGCTGCCCTTGTCCCGGGAGCGCTGCCGCTGCCTGTCCTGCTCTATTGGGACAGGCGGCTCCTGTCCTGTCTCTGTGTCTGAAGCATTTGTGTGTACACTGTGGCATCTATCCTCAGGTCCTGGGGCTGGCGGTCCCTGAGCAAAGTAAACTGCCTGGCTGTTTGATTGACATTTTCTTGGGGGGGGGAAAGTGATGGTTTCCTGCTGTACTGTGTGAATCTGCCGTTTACCATGAGTGTTCCCAGGTAAGTGTGTGTCCAGACAGAGGCTGTCTGGGGCACCGGGTTCCTCGGAGGCTTCCTGGCTGCCTCTGCAGCGCTGGGTTTATGCTGCCTGTCTGTGTGCCTTGCAGGCTCTGAAAAGGAAGCCGGACCTCTTCCTGTGTAGCAACCTGGATGTCAAAGCTGTGTTTCAGTGTGGTGAGTACCACGGGCATGGGCACGCACTCTAAATCGCTCTGCGGAGAAGCCAGCCTGCTTCTCCTGCAGAGCCAGGCACAGACCAGCCAAGAACTGGGGAAGCACAGGGCTGATTTGGGATGGCGTGCAGTGTTTCTGGCTGCTAACCTGAGCAATATCTACCTACCTGCAGGTGTCCTTTCACTCAAGTTCCCCGAGGCCCCAACTGTCAAAGCATCCTGTGGCTTTTTTGTGAGTATTGTGGCATCGTGCAGTCCCCTGAGCGCTGGGAGGGAAGGAGTGGGGCTGCAGGTTGGGCAAGGGTGCTGCAGCCTGGAGCCAGCTTTGGCACTGAGCGGTCTGGACTCTGTGTTGCAGACAGAACTGCTGCCCCGCTGCGGAGAGATCGCCCCAGTGGGACAGGTCGTGCATGAGAACGGGAAAGTGCTGCTGCAGGCAGTGCTGGAGGTGAGAGACGCCGGGACCGTGGGCTCCCCGGGCAGCTTTGGGCTCTATTCCTGAGCAGCACCCCTGCGGACCCAGGGGCAAAGAGCCAGGCAGCATGGGTGGGTGCACGCAGGGTGATGCCAGGGCTCAGTAGGGTCTGTCTGCTCTGTGACAGGGCATTGGTGGCCAGGCTTCCCGCAGCCTCATGGATCACTTCGCAGAAATCCTCTTTGCCTTGAACAAGCACTGCTTCAGCTACCTGAGTGTCTGGATCAAGGAGGCCATGCAGCAGGACGGCTTCCCCTCGGCCCGTGTCAGCCCTGAGCAGAAGGAGACCTTCAGCCAGCAGATCCTTAGGTTCGTGCACCCTTCCTTGTGGTGGCTGTGCCCCACCTGCGGTGGGAATGACCCCTGCTCCTGCATGGCCTGGCGTGTCCCTCCCGATTCATGTTTGTCCCCTCCCTCTGTCTTAGCAGAGAGCGTGTGAACAAGCGGCGAGTGAAGGAGATGGTAAAGGAGTTCACCTTGCTGTGCCGAGGGCTGCATGGCACGGAGTACACAGCAGACTACTGAGCACCTGGCCAGGACCGTGGACAATTTGCCCAGACCAGCTCTTCCCCGCAAGGAAGTCCCCCCCTCCTCCCCACCCTGCTGCAGTACGGCTCATAGAATAACCCTCCACCTAGAATTAACCCACTCGGGACGCTCCTCAGCTAGATTTGGTGGCCGCATCTCGGTGTCAGCATCTTTGTTTCCCCCAGCATGCTCCCCCCTCGCAGGGGACAGGAGTGCCGGCTGCAGGAGGCAGCGACAGGGATGGGGGGAAGCCTGGGCAGGACTAACCCAGCACGGGCTGCCCCGCGCCTGGGCTACCAGCCCTTCTTTGGCACTTCCCCGTGGGTGCCCGTGCCCCGTGGCAGGGAGGCTGCCCCTGTGCCCGCAGCAGTGGCTGGCTGGGCAGGGGGGGGCTCACCCCTGCTCATTTGTATGTGTGTGGTTGGGAGGGGGGAGGCCCTGCACCTAATTATATTAAGAATATTTCTATGTTGTGGCTGTCATTATTGCGGTGCCTGGACTCTGTCTACCCCTTGCCTCTGGGGAAGAGCCCGGCAGAGGGTGTTAAATCATGGTTGGGATGATTCAAAGAACTTCTGTCCCCCCAGCTTCGGGAGGGATGGCAAAAACCAGTCCCCCCCCCACTCACCATGCTCTCCTGCCTGGCATGGAGCAGAAATGGTCCTGCCCCACACGAGAGGGGCCAGACTCCATACCTGCCAAAAGCAGGGTCCACCCTGCAGCACAGGATGTCTGCACCCCACTCGTGTTCATCAGAGCAGGCAAGGGGCTTGCTCATGCTCGGAGCCCTCTCCCCTTTGCCTTAGTTCCCCAGCCCAGCCTGCGAACATGCTTTCATTTCTGGGGGTCCCAGTTCTGGTTTTCTGTTCTCTCGGGCTGGTTTTAGCTGACGCACAGGACTGCACTCCCCAAGTGGGCACCATGATCTGTGTTTTCACTCTGGGACACCTGGTATCACCCCTGTCTGCGCTCCTCAGTCCATGTTTTTTATGCTAGAAAACATTTCACTCGCAAGTCCTTTTCAATTCAACTTTAGTTAGTTAGCAGCAGTAGCCCACAAAAGCCTCGAGTCCTGGTGCTGTTAGCTCCTGTGAAGCTATGACCTTTCCATGTAGGGCCAAAGCTGCCCTGGACTGGGGAGCCCTCGGAGGCCGGGTCTGGGCCAAGTACCTCTCCTGGCCCGGCTGCTGCCCCAGCCATGAACTCCAGGGTGCCACAGGCATCCCCGAACACACACCCAACTCCTGCTCTCCCACCGCGGCACTACTGGTCCAAGGCTGCAGCCAGTGTGGGGCCAGCAGGTGGCAGGTCCGGACCCTTGTGAGACCCTCACGGGTCCAACACTCAGTGGCAGGCAATGCCTGGGCCCCCACACGGCCCTGCTCCTGGCTGGGTGCCAATGCTGCTGCCGAATCAGGGTTGCTCACGCCCCTCATCCTCATAGGCAATGGCAATCCCTCGTCGGCCCGGCACAGCCTTGGAGACGGGCGTCTGCCCCAGCTGCTGCTCCAGGCCCCGCCAGCTGCGAGACTCCAGGAAGGAGGCTGGAAGGAGAGAGAAAGGGAATTGTTACCGGGAGCAGGGAGACGGCACTGCCCCTGCACCAGGGCTCAGCCCCACCATGAAAACAAATCACGAACCAGCAGGGCTGATTTCCGTGAGGGCCCACGTCTGGTCCCTGCAGGCCAGGGTGGTGCTGGTGGGCAGCTGGGAAGCCGGAGGATCGCAGAGCTGAGTGGCGCGCAGCTCCCCCGTGATCAGTGAGATGTCGGGAACAGCCTCCGCTGCAGGGATGGCCGGTGGGAGCTCAACGTGCGCGCAGGCACCTGTGGGGAAACGGTCACGTTAGCCTGGTGCTCGTGTCTATCCCCCAGCCGGTGCAGAGCTGGGGCAACCACAGCCTCCAGGCAGGGGAGCAGGGCAGGACACACCCCGGGAGGGTGTTGGGCAGCTGGTTTCCAGCTGTTACCTGGCAGCAGGTCTCGGAAATTGGTGAGGTAGTTCCCTGTCCATTCACGGGCTGGGTTACAGGCCAGCTCCAGCTCATATGGCGTCACAACGGGCCGGTAGAAGTCACTGGAGTCCAGCAGGGAGTTCTGAGCACAGGCTACCAGGACAAAGACGTCCACCTCCAGGAAGTTGGCCAGCTTGGCAGGGTTCGGCTTCCCCACAGCCAGCGTGTAGCTGCGCTTGCCGGCCCGGCGCAGAAGCTCCCGGAGGTGCTGCAGCACAGCCAAGTAGCCCACCACGCCAAGGGTGCCCACCAGGATGCCCACCACACGGGCGTCCCGGGCCCGCTCCACCAGGTAGAGGCGTCGCATCAGGGCCCGGTTGACATTGAGGGTCTCGTGGCGGCCGCAGCCTGTGGCAGGGTCAAAGGAGCTGAAGGGACAGCGGTTCCAGGTCAGCATGAAGCTGGTGAGGGCTAGGCCCTCGGCTCCCACGTAGAACATGGAGCAGTCCTGCAACCCTCCTGGTGCCTCCACCAGGAACTGGCGACCAAACTGCCGCACCTCCCCACGTGGCGTGGGGCCAGGAGGGTCCTCACACACCACCCTGGAGAAGACGATATTAGGGTACTCAGGGCACAACTGCTGCTCCAGCTCACCTGAAGGGAGAGAGCAGTGAGAACGAAACATGGCCGCAGGCCTGTGCTGCAGAAGGTGGGACAGCAGATCAGGAGAGAGGAAAGGACAGAAATCAAGGCTGGGGACTGACTGCCTGCTGCTGCCTGTCCCCCTGGCAGCTCTGCAGAGCTCTGAGCACTGCCAGAGACTCCCTCCCTGCCCCAGAGCACTCACCCATCGCATGGGCATAGACCACATCGTTCAGCACCACCACACGGCTCTGCCGGTTGGGGTAGAGCTCCCGGAAGGCCTCTGCGCAACGCCCGATGTCCAGGGGCTGCTGCCCGAAGATGTGCAGCACCGGTAGCTTTCCGCAGGGACTGAGGCAGGCTGGGCCGTAGTGCAGCACCGCCTCGGCACCCGCGTGCTCGGCGGCCACTTCGTCCACACAGCAGCTGCGGGGAGGACCCACTGTCAGACGGGCTCTGCGCCCCGCAGCTCTTCCTCCTCCCTGGCACCGCCGGCCCCAGCCCGGGCAGCTCCGGCCCTCGGCCCTGCCAGGGCCGTTCCGCCCCCACTCCTGCCCGCGGAGGAGCCCCGGGACACCCCCCGCGGCCCCACACCGACCTGCCGTACGTGGTGTCTCCTAGGACGTACATCTCGGCGCCCGTCGCCGCCTCCATCCGGGCCGCCACCGCCGCCGCGTCCGCCAGGAGCTCGTCGGGGAACTGGAGGGCGACCTGGGGGGTGACCAGGGGAGGCAGGCGGTGAGGCCGCGGGGAGGGGCGGCCCGCAGCCCCCGGCCCTGCTCCACCCCCGGCCCCGCTCACCTTGCGGAACCCGCCGCCCCGCACGAAGGCGGCGGCGCGGCCCATCTCGTAGAAGCCGTCGAGGTCCCCCCGCGGCGCCGCCGCCGGGCCCAGCTCCCGCCGCAGCGCGGCCTCCCCGTCGCTGCTGAAGGCCGTTGCCATGGCGCCGCGGGGTCGGAGGTCAGGCCCGCCACGCGGTACCCCTGCGCCCGCTTCCGGGCTGGGGCGCGGAGCCGGCCAATGAGAACTCCGCACCGCCCCCTCCCGTTCTCGGAAATCCCGCCCCTGATAGAGCGGGGCCTATCGCGCTTCACGGCAGGGCGGAGCGGGGAAGGGCAGCCAATGGCAAGAAGCGCTCGTCGCGGTGCGTTACGGTCTATGTAGTTCTCTGGCGGCTGTCAGGCCGGCCAGCCAATGAGCGGGCGCGGTGGAAGCGGTTACGCTCTTTCCGCTCGGGCGCTGCGGTTCCGCTCACGTGTCCCGCGCGGGTCAGGTGACGCGCTCCCGGCCGGCCCGCTCGCTCCGCTCCGTCCCGCGCCGCTGCCGCCATGACGGGGCTCGCGTTGCTCTACTCGGGGCTCGGCCTCGCCTTCTGGACCACGCTGCTGGGCGTCGGTCAGCGCCGGGACCGGGACCGGGACTGGGGGCGGAGGGGCTGGGGGTCACGGGGCCGGCAGAGGGGGCGGTGGGCGTGAGGGGGAGACCGGCGTTCGGGCTTGCGTCCGTGCTGGCTGCTCCCTTGCCGGAGGAGGGCTGGCGGGGGGGGTGTGTGTGCTGTGGCGTGGAAAAGGAAGGCGGGGGTTCGAGGGGGTGCAACGTTGTCGGTCGCCCGGTGCGCTGAGCTGCTCACGGGCAGAAGCAAGAGGGCTGGCCCGTGGCCTGCCATGGCACCGGGAGCGCTGCTGTGGGGCTCCTCAGCCTCGATGTTACTCCCCCCGGGTGCTCTGAGCTGCTCCCTCGGAGGGTTTGGAACCCCAGCAGCGCTGTGTAACCGTCAGCTGCCATTGGACGCGCAGCTTTCAGCGCTCGGAGCCTGTCCGGCTTGAGGAGTTGATTTGCTTATCTGTGTGTGTGAGAGCGGAAAGGTGCTGGTGCCAGTCAAGGGTTGTGTTTGGATTTGGCGGATCAGGGGAGGTGAAGGCAGGCGCCCGGTTTTTCAGATGGTGACAGTTGATGTCTCCTGGACGGAGGAGATCGCCCTCCTGCTTTGCCAAGCTGTGGCAGCATAAGGAAACGTGCAAGTTGGTCCGGATGATTGCAGAGCTGGTGCATGGTTATGTTGCAGCTTGTTGCAGCCCAGGCTCTGCTGCTGATGGCATTGGGCTCAGCAGCACTGAGGATGGATTTAATGCCCAAGAAGTAGTGGGAAGATTTTGTGCTGGAGCTGCTGGTTATTTCCTCTTTCAGCGCAGAGTGAAGTGACCGCGAGCCAGGCAGAGGCTAGGGAGACCTTGCGTCACCTCACCTCAGCGTTTGGGTGAGGGGAGAGACCGAGTCAGAAGTGAAGGGTGTCTCACTCCCTCGTGTTTCCAGGGCCTGATGAACCCAGTGCCAGGCCCAGGGCTGCCTTACTGGGCTTTCTGAATCATGTGGCTCACGCCAGTGCAGATGCATGCTGCAAACTTGAGACTGTCGGAAAATCTCGACAAACTGAGCCCAGATGCCCTTAACTTCCCTTGCCCTGTTGCAATCCCTTTTTGGGGAAGGCATGAGCAGGAAACGGTCTCACTCTGCGCAATGTTGTGGTGGTGCCTCTTTGTGCTTTCCCTCCTTGTCCTGAGCCCTGCTTTGGTGCTCCGGTCTTCTTGCCAGAAGCAAGAGGAGACTCTTTTCTGTCCTTCTGGCTGCAGGGCTGGGAGCCAGAGCTCACAGGAAAGCGTCCTTTGCCCTGTTTCTTTTGTATATGAATCCAAGGCTACACCTGCTCTTGAAGAGATGGAAGGTGCCCTGAGGATCTGCCCTGAGCTGGTTGTAGCTCTTCCTTACCACTCCTGGGGAGTGGGGGCAGCTGAGGCTGGCTGGGTTCAGTTTCTGCTCTGCCAGCCAAGCAGCAAAGCCAAAACACAAGTCACAGACCAGCCAGGCCCAGCACCATAGAGATCATCCCTGAAGGTTGCCAGGCGTGTGGGCTGGGATGTGGCCTGTGCTCCCTGGCTGTGGCGGCACCGTTCTTCATTTGCATGTGTTTCTGCAGGGAAGCGGGGCACCTCGATTCTGCGGGTGGGAGGAGTGACCAGCATTACCACTTCCCATTTCAGGGCTGGCTTGCCTGGCAGTGCTTGTATGTTCTCCCAGTACACAGGGTGCTGAGCCCCAAGTTGCACGCGGAGGTGTTTATCCCATAGGGACATCTCTGCTGTGAGGCTGGCGGGTCTCCCTACGCTGCAGCACTGAGGCCCTCCCATAGGATAAGTCCTCCTGCAGGTCTTGGTGATGGGCAGGGAGCGGCTCCTGCGACCTGGGGCACGCAGTCCTGCCCCCGTATTGCTGCCGGGCACATTGCTGGCTTGCCATCACCCTCTGCCTCCAGGCTGTGACTCTGGGGAGAAGGGAGCAGCGGGATGTGTGCAGTGACCTCTCTGCTGCTTTTAAGTATTTCAGAAGCCTCCACTTTCAACTTTTTCTCAGCCATACAGTGGGTCCGTGTCACACAGCCAGTGGCTCCAGTCAGTAGAGCCTGTCCCTTCCCCCGTTTATCTGGTGTGAAACAGACAGTGCCACACTGCCTGTGCTTCTCTGTTCCTTAGGGCCAGGTCATCCTCTCTTTTCCAGCTGCACACCATGAGGCATGCAAAGAGCAAGTGTCTCTTCTGGTCTGCAGCCATGTTTCCTGCTCACAAGCTCAGAGCAAGGCTGGATTTTGGTGCGAGCACCTCTGCGTGTGCTTGGGCTGCACAGGGCTGCTGAGTGTGACTCCCAGCTGTGATTCAACAAGAGAGAGGAGCACTCGGGTACAGCAGGGCGAGCTGTCCTTGTAATCCCTCCCTAGAAAGGAAGGGCTTTTCTGGGTTTCTCAGGGCTGCGCTTTGGTGTCTCCTGCCTGTGTTGGAGTACAAATTTCTCTGGAAATAACTAACTCTGGGAGAAATGCTGAGGACGGCAGGCACATCTTGGAACGTCCACAGCCTTGGAGAGGGAGGTGCTGGGGGGCAGCTGCAGCTTCTGGTGTTGATGGGCTCCTGGTGAGATGGTGACGGAGCAGCATGTGATGGTCAGCCAGGGCACACAGCATTGCTCCTCTCACCTCCCCTGTGAGAGAGAAGACCTCACAGATGGTCATCCGATGCCGTGGCTCTCCAGTGGAGGTGAACCATTGGATGTTGTGGATGGAGATGGTGCTGGGACAAAGGGCTGTGGGTTGCCCTTGAGCCCCTGTAGCCCAGCATGGCCTGTGCGTGCTCAGCAGGGTTAGGGAACAGAAAATGGGTGCAACAACCACCATAATCCTCTTCTAGGCAAAGACTGAGATGGGGTCTGGGAATATCACAAGTCTGGGCTGTCTGTCCTGCGATGATGTGGGAGCGCTGGGATCACTGGGATGGGACTTTGCGGGGGGGCACCCTGCCCCACAGCTCTACATGCCTGAGCCAGTCCTCCCAGTAACCCTCCTACATACTGTGCTGTGCCCTGGGGCCTCTGACCCGGGGCTTCGCAGGTAGGGGAGGAAATGGCAACACTGGGCTGGTAGCTGGTGCCTGTCTGAAGGTTCCCATGTCACTCTTGCTTTCCAGGGATCTGCTACACAATATTTGACCTGGGGTTCCGCTTTGATGTGGCCTGGTGAGTTCCCTGTAAATACCGGCATCCTCAGGACTGTGTGAGGAGGTGGGCAGTGTTAGTAGTGCCTGCAGGGAATAGCACTCGCTTTTGAGCGACGGGCAGTAGTCCCTGCATCGTAGAGCAGCAAGAGCTACAGTGAGCAGGGCCTCTGCTCCCCATGAGGTGGGATAGATGCAGCCCGTGTGGCTGGTTCCATATAGGGTCCTGGTGCAGCCATCACTGCCCTTCCCACCCCCTCTCCCAGCCCAGGCTTCACCTTCACAGTGAGGGTTTGGGAGGAAGGTCTTGGTCCATGCGGGTGAGGGTCCTGGGTTGCTGGCTGGCAGAGAGAGGCTCTGGTGTCCTACTGTCTGGCAATGCCCAACCCATCTTGGGCTGCATGATCGGGTAGGGGCGTACCTGTTTTGGGGCTGTGCCCCATGACTGGGGGGCGGGGGTCAGTCTGTGTGCTAATTCGGGGCACTTCTTTTCCAGGTTCCTGACGGAGACCTCACCCTTCATGTGGTCCAACCTGGGCATTGGCCTGGCCATCTCCCTATCCGTGGTGGGAGCTGCCTGGTGAGTGGGGCTAGCTCTTCAGCGGGCTCCTGCTGTCCCACCTCGGTAGCTGTGTACACACTGTGGTTTCCCCACAGCAGGGCAGGGGCAGAACAGTGTGTCCATGCAGGGGTGTGGAGCTCTGTGGGTCACCACAGCAGTGAGGCCAGGTTGCTGGGCTCCTGGGGGGGTCTAGGCAGACCACCTTGCAGCCTGCAATGGCAGTGGAGAGACAGGGATGTCCTTGGCTCTCTAGAAGCTGTACCCCTGAGTCCAGGCTGTGCAGTGGTGGCTCTTGTGCCCCAGCAGTTCTGTTGGTGTAGGTGGTGGAGCCTGGGACCACTTGTACCCTGGGGGTGGACAGGCTAAGTCTGCAGTGTCCCCCAGCTGCATGCCCAATTCTTTGCTCAGCTGGAAGATCCTGGTTTCCCTATTGAATCCTTCTGCGAGTGCCAGACCCTCCACCAACCACCCTTGTCTGCCACAGGGGGATTTACATCACAGGCTCCAGCATCATCGGTGGTGGAGTCAAAGCCCCTCGGATCAAAACCAAGAACCTGGTCAGGTAAGCACGGACCTGGGGTTAGTGCTCATGCTGTGCCTGAGCGGGGCAGGTCCCAGCCCAGTGCAGAGGCTCCTGTCTTGCCTCTAACTGGGCGCTGCTGGCAGACCGTTCCTCACTGACCTGCTGATGCTCTTTGCTTTCAAAACAAAGAGCCCTAAAGGAGCCAGAGCGCTGCTTTGAAGAGTCATTGCGTGATATCATGCAGTGAATGAGCCCAGTGTGCTCAAAACAAACACCCTGAGATCACACTTCCTGACCCAGGCGAGGGTTCCCCTGGCCAGACCTTGCACAGCCCTTCCCCGAAGGAGCAGAAGGGGGCTGGTGGAGGGCAGGGCTCCCTGGGCCTGCTTCCCACAGGGCCATCACAGCTTACTTCGGTGGCACAGCACGACCAGCACCCAGCTTTCATGTTTGGCAGCTCCCCCTTGTTTGAGAGGAAAACAGTGGGTAGGCTGGACTGCCTTTCTGCCCTTGGCGGCAGTGGGACAGGGTCAAATGAGACTGTGGGTGGCTGCTGGCTGGCTGGCTGGCTGGGCATGAAGTGGCGGGGGCTGCTTGGGGCGGGGCAGAGCCTGGGACACTGTGCTCAGACTTTGCTTTTCTCCCACAGCATCATTTTCTGCGAGGCTGTGGCCATTTACGGGATCATCATGGCAATCGTCATCAGTAACATGGCTGAGGTATGGGAGGACCTGGGCTGCCCTGCCAGCCTTGCGCCGGCCTCAGGGCTACGGTGGGGATGGGCAGCCGGGCATGGGCCAGTGTTATGAGTGGTGGCCCTGTGTGGACTTTGGACACTGTTGTGCCCCTGGGAGTCGCTGTGGTGATGGTCTGTGTGGTGGCCCCTGCCCACTCGGAAGAGTGGGTTGGGGGAGCATGCACAAGGCAGGTGTCATGAAGCCACCCAGGGACATGGAGTCAGGGACCAGTTCTGGCCAAAATGTGGCTGCCGTATCAGGGACAGGTACCTGTCCCAGAAACCAGGGACTTGCCACTAACCCAGGCCCTGTACTTTCCTTCTCTCAGCCTTTCTCTGCAGTCACTCCAGAGACGATTGGAGCCAGGAACTACCACGCAGGTAAGGACTGCTCGGTCCCTGGTGCCAGTCGGTGTGAGCATTGCCACACCCTCACCTCCGCCTTCTGACCGGCAGTGGCTTGCTGCAGGTGTCTGAAGGCCATATGACTCTTCTGCCAAAAAGCAGCTTTTTAGTTAACCTTCTCGAGGCCCTCCTGCACCCAGCTGTGCTGTGCTGCCCAGCAGCAGCACTGCTCCTCCCTCAGGTGGCAGCAGATTGCTGTCACCTCTGCTGGGCTGGCGCTGTGGGAGCTGGGGCACACCTTGGAGTGGTCCTGCTCCCCAGACAGGAGGATGTTGCTGGTGCTTGGCAGCTCTGGGTCTTCTGTCACCTCAAGGCAGAGCTGCTGCAGCATGGCTGGGGTGCAGGTAGAAGGGGTTTACCCCCTGCTCTTGCACTTTTCCTCTCTCACAGGTTTTTCCATGTTTGGGGCTGGCCTGACCGTGGGGTTATGCAATCTCTTCTGTGGGGTCTGTGTGGGCATCGTGGGCAGCGGGGCTGCCTTGGCTGATGCCCAGAACGCCAGCCTCTTTGTCAAGATCCTGATTGTGGAGATCTTTGGCAGTGCCATAGGGCTGTTTGGGGTCATCGTTGCTATCCTGCAGGTACCTTCCTCCTGGGGCTACCAGGCTTATGTGAGCACCAGATGCCTGTCACCCTGGGTGCTCTTCAGCTCCAGGGAGACACACCTGGGCTCCAGCACAATCCTCTGCATTGGGATGGGGAGGCTGCTCGCAAGGTTTGGGGTGGCACAGCTCTCCCCACAGCGTACTGTGCCTATTTGCAGCAGTGCGAACTCTTTTGATGGCCCCTCTGAGCAACTGTCACAGACGGTGTCACCTTGGGTGCAACCTGTGTGATGCTCATGTCTTATCGGTGGGGCTGATAAGCTGTCTGCAGCTTCTGGACTGTCCCGGGGTGCTTGGGTGGGACTGGGGTGCTGGGCTGGGGTTTGTGGGGCACGGCCTAACCTCTCTTCTTTATTTCTAGACATCTAAAGTAAAAATGGGCAACTGAGCCCTGTCGCACCCAGCCTGTTCCAGCCTGCCCCAAGAGGTGCTGTATATACTTATTTAATGTTTCTAGCCTTGATTGGGGCGGGAGCTGCCCGGCGGCGGGAGTGCGGCTGTGTAGAGCCCAGTCCTGCAGATCAGTCGGCCCCTCAGAAGAAACAAATTTGTGTGAATTCTGCCCCCAGCAGCCTGGGCCAGCCCGCGGGGCCCTGCTGCTGCTGCGTGTTCCCGGTGTGTGTAAAATCAACCACCAGTGCAATTCTGTGTCCGTGAAATAAATATGGTTCTCGTCCAAGGATGCAGCTCTTCCTCTGCCCTACGCATGCTGGGGAGGCTTGCAGAGAGCAAGTGCTGATTTGGGCTGACCCCTTGCTTGGAGATTCCCCTCTGTGCCTCTGGCAAAGCCCCTGTCCTGCCCCAGGAGCCTGGTGGTGCCCTCCCTGTGTGGGGTTAACCCTGCTGCCTGCTCAGCCTGCAAGAGGCTGCCCTCTTGGGGCTGTGGGAACACTGGAGCTCTACTTTGCAGCCTGGAACAGGTAGGAGGCTACTGGAGCAGGCAGCAGGCAGCTCAGCGCTGCCTCTGCCAGGCTCCTGCCAGCACTGGTGCTGCCCCATGCGAGGCGTGCTGGAGGCACAGGCGCAAGCTGGTTTGGGCCTTTCGGCTCCCATCCAGGTAGTCTAATGCAGAGGGAGTGTACACCGTGTCCGTAGACCCATTGTGCAGCTGGGCAGCACCAGAACGGCAAAGGAGCAAAGCTTTTGCCCCTCTGAAGGCTGTCCTCCAGCCAGCAGCTCCCTTGTGTGACTGTTGGTTGGGTGCTGCTGGGTGCTGGGGCTCTCCAGTCTGCAGTGCCCCTCTGTCCCAGGGAGGCCCTGGTAGAGGTCCCAGGGGTGGGGATGCTTTGTGCTGGCTTTGCTCCCCTCTCCCTGGCTGTGGGGAATACAGCGTGGAGAAGCCGGCTGTGGACAGCTGGGCCTGCAGCTCATCTGCTGCTTGGGGGAAGGGAAGAACAAGGTCCTGCTGCCTCCGCTCTGCAGAGAGCCTGGAGCCAATGCTTCTGCAGTCTGCTGTATCCAGCAGAAGGCCCTCATCCTGCTGTGCTGCCAGTACACCTTTGTAGGAGAAGGATTAATCCCCTGGTGCTGTTAGTGCTGCGTCAGAGCAGATGCATGCCTGGAGCTGCCCATCTCTCTTCCCATCAGGATGCAACAGGCTGGGGTAGCAGTGGGACTGCTGGAGCCAGGGAAGGGTTCATGCCTGCTGATTTTTTGCCCTTGGGCTAGGGCAGCTGCCTCTGCACGGCGCCTCTGAGCTCTGCCAGTCTCCTGGCTCCGCTCCGCATTATCCCGTGCATTTTGGGACAGCAGTGTGTTTCAGCCCTGGGTGTGGGAAGACTGCTGGGGCAAACCGAGCCACTGTTCCTGCTAGCTCTGCTGGATGTCCTCTAGGGCTGGAGGCTGCGACAGGAGCTCCGTGTGCCCCACGTAACAGCAGGGACACAAGCTGGGCCCTGCTCCCTCAGAAGAAAGGGTGTCAGGTGTGGGCAGAGTTTTGCCTGTCCTGCACGAGGGCTGTACCCTTGTCCTCTCGCATTGCTGCTGCTGCAGGCCAGAGGCAGCTGAAGCCCCTGGGAGCTGCAGGGCCATCTCGTTGGACCCATGCTGAACTCATGGGGCTGCATTCAGGAAGGAGATGCCTGGGCTTGGAGAACCTGCACTGGTGGTAGAGAAGCTGTTCTATGGGTTAATCATCTTCCTGGTTAACAGCTGTCTTGAAAGACTCACCCACTTGTCTTTCGGGGATGGGTCTTGCCCCGCCCTGCCTTGGCTTGATAGAAATCTATCCACTGTCAGAAATCTCCCTCTGCTAGGTGCTTTTCTGCCCTCCAAATCCGGCCTGTGTGTATCACAGCTTTGGCTGGGGAACGGGCTCCGGACTTGCTCACAGGCCCCTCGTGAGGACATGAGACCCACCAGGGCTGGTCTCACGGTGGCCCACGGCCTGCCTCCTGCAGCCAGTGGTGGTGAGGTGAGCGTGCCCTGCGCTTCCTTGTTCTAGGTGCGTCTGCTTGGGTTCTAGGACTTGGCTGTGCTAAATACCTGCTGCTCAAGCATGGAGAAAGAGCTTAAGCAGGGCTCCGGCATCTTGCACCTTGTCTCATTTAGGAGCAGCAGGAGTTGGAAGATGATCTGGTGACTGCGTGTAAGTACTCACGGGGGAAATGCTACCTGCCGAAGAGCGGAACTGAGAGCTGGAGGCAGAAGTTGGACAGCTTTCAGGAGGGCTCGCTTGCAGGGCTGGAGCAGGGCTGGGCTGGTTGGGTGCTGCTATATTGTTATTTTCTGAAGGGAGCTGCTGTGGGGAAGAGGGAAAGCCCTCGCTTGGGTTGAGCGGCCAGGCACGGGGCACGAGGAGGGGCTTCGGGGGACAGGGGCTCCTCAAAACGGGCACAAATGCTGACAAGAAGGGAGAGGCTGCAGACGGTGCAAAAATTACTCGTGGTGGGACCAGCCCGAGATCTTCCGCTGATGCCGTTGTGTTAGGGAAAGTGAAATTCTCGGTGTTTCCTAGCAATGAAACGTGGAAAGGGAGGGGGGGGGGAGGCGGAAAGGAGCCACAAATAGGTTGCGACGGGTGCTGAGCCAGCACCAACGCTCGGGGACGCGGGATTCGCCCTGAGTGGGTCCGTGAAAGCGCTGCCCGAAACGCGGCGGGAGGGAGGGGAGACAGAAACACGGAGTGACCCCGTCCCTGTGTCGCCGGGGGGGTGCTCGGAGGGTTCCCGGTGCCGCGCTCGGCGCTCGCGAGGGCTGAACGTCTCGGGGTGGGGGGAGCGAGCAGTCCGGGGGGGGGG